ACACGTTTCGTGGCCCCATAGGGAGCTCCACCGAGGACCCCAGTGGCTGCGTTCGCACGGCGGCGCCGCACCCATTTCGGCACACCCCTCACACGTTTCGTGGCCCCATAGGGAGCTCCACCGAGGGCCCCAGTGGCTGCGTTCGCATGGCGGCACCGCACCCATTTCGGCACACCCCTCACACGCTTCGTGGCCCCATAGGGAGCTCCACCGAGGGCCCCAGTGGCTGCTTTCGCATGGCGGCACCGCACCCATTTCGGCACACCACTCACACGTTTCGTGGCCCCATAGGGAGCTCCACCGAAGGCTCCAGTGGCTGCGTTCGTATGGCGGCACCGGACACCGCGCCAATTTCGGCACACCCCTCACACGCTGCGTGGCCCCATAGGGAGCTCCACCTAAGGCCCCAGTGGCTGCGTTCGCATGGCGGCACCGCACTCATTTCGGCATACCGAAAACACGCTTCGTGGCCCCATAGGGAGCTCCACCGAAGGCCCCAGCGGCTGCGTTCGCATGGCGGCACCGCACCCATTTCGGCACACCCCTCACACGCTTCGTGGCCCCATAGGGAGCTCCACCTAAGGCCCCAGTGGCTGCGTGCATGGCGGCACCGCACTCATTTCGGCACACCGAAAACACGCTTCGTGGCCCCATAGGGAGCTCCACCGAGGGCCCCAGTGGCTGCGTTCGCATGGCGGCACCGCACCCATTTCGGCACACCCCTCACACGCTTTCGTGGCCCCATAGGGAGCTCCACCGAGGGCCCCCGTGGCTGCGTTCGCATGGCGGCACCGCACCCATTTCGGCACACCCCTCACACGTTTCGTGGCCCCATAGGGAGCTCCACCGAGGGCCCCAGTGGCTGCGTTCGCATGGCGGCACCGCAATTTCGGCACACCCCTCACACGTTTCGTGGCCCCATAGGGAGCTCCACCGAGGGCCCCAGTGGCTGCGTTCGCATGGCGGCACCGCACCCATTTTGGCGTGCCCCATAGGGAGCTCCACCCCCCTCACACGTTTCGGCACACCCCTGTGGCCCCATAGGGAGCTCCACCGAGGGCTCCAATGGCTGCGTTCGCATGGCGGCACCGCGCCATTTCGGCACACCCCTCACACGTTTCGTGGCCCCATAGGGAGCTCCACCGAGGGCCCCAGTGGCTGCGTTCGCATGGCGGCCCGCACCCATTTCGGCACACCCCTCACACGTTTCGTGGCCGCTTAGATAGGGAGCTTCACCGAGGGCCCCCGTGGCTGCGTTCGCATGGCGGCACCGCACCCATGTCGGCACACCCCTCACACGTTTCGTGGCACCATAGGGAGCTCCACCGAAGGCCCCAATGGCTGCGTTCGCCTGGCGGCACCGCACCCATTTCGGCACACCCCTCACACGTTTCGTGGCCCCTGAGGGAGCTCCACCGAAGGCCGTCGTGGCTGCGTTCGCATGGCGGCACCACACCCATTTCGGCACATAGGGAGCTCCACCGAGGGCCCCAGTGGCTGCGTTTGCATTGCGGCACCGCACCCATTTCGGGACACCCCTCACACGCTTCATGGCCTCATAGGGAGCTCCACCGAGGGCTCCAATGGCTGCGTTCGCATGGCGGCACCGCGCCCATTTCGGCACACCCCTCACACGTTGCGTGGCCTCATAGGGAGCTCCACCGAGGGCTCCAATGGCTGCGTTCGCATGGCGGCACCGCACCCATTTCGGCACACCCCTCACACGTTTCGTGGCCCCATAGGGAGCTCCACCGAGGGCCCCCGTGGCTGTCTGTGTCGCATGGCGGCACCGCGCCCATTTCGGCACACCCCTCACACGTTTCGTGGCCCATAGGGAGCTCCACCGAAGGCCCCAGTGGCTGCGTTCGCATGGCGGCACCGCGCCCATTTCGGGACACCCCTCACACGCTTTGTGGCCCCATAGGGAGCTCCACCGAGGGCCCCAGTGGCTGCGTTCGCATGGCGGCACCGCACCCATTTCGGCACACCCCATCACACGTTTCGTGGCCCCATAGGGAGCTCCACCGAGGGCCCCAGTGGCAGCGTTCGCACGGCGGCACCGCACCCATTTCGGCACACCTCTCACACGTTTCGTGGCCCCTTAGGGAGTTCCCTCTCATTCGCTCAACCTGCTTTGCGGTACTCGTAACTGCATATGGTTGGGTCCATCGCCAGGATAATTTTCATGTGTCCAGCAGGCCACCAGGTGGGTATCTAACATGGTGGTCCCGAGCTGGTACCGCGTGTTTTCACGTGTCCAGGACACACAGGGGGGTATCTAACATGGTGTTCCCGAGCTGGAACCACGTCGTTTCACGTGTCCAGGGCGCACACGCGGGTATCTCATATGGTGGTCTCGAGCTGTCACCACGTGTTTGCACGTGTCCAGGCCACCCAGGGGGGTATCTAACATGGTGGTCCTGCGCTGGAACCATGTGGCGCGTATTTTTACGTATCCAGGCCACCCAAGGGGGTATCTAACATGGTGGCCTCGAGCTGGAACCACGTGTTTATGTGTCCAGGCTAACCAGGAAGTGTCTAACATGGGCCTCCTGTAGCTATCCTGACGCCCAGAAAGGAATGCAGAGATTTCATGTATCCGGTATCGATTTGTTATCTTTTTAGCCTCCGGGCACCTCCGGGCATTCCTGGGCCCTCCTGCGCTCCAGACGACCGCATGTTCGATATTCCCCCTGGGTGGTTTGGAACCATGTGTTTTCACGTGCCCAGGCCACACAGGGGGGTATCTAACATGGTGTTCCCGAGCTGGAGCCACGTCGTTTCACGTGTCCAGGGCACCCACGTTGGTATCTAACACGGTGGTCGCTTTTCGTTTCCCCCCGCCCCCCAGGACGCCCCAGGATGCTCGAGAAATTTGAAAACACATAGTTCCTAACGCCCCAGGGCGGGACAAGCGTGAAAACACATAGATTCCTAACGCTGCAGGGCGGGAGAAGCATGAAAAAACATAGGTTCCTAACGCTCCAGGGCGGGAGAAGCGCAAAAACACATGGTTCCTAACGCCCCAGGGCGGGAGGAGCGCAAAACTACATGGGTTCCTAACGCCGCAGGAAGCCCCAGGAGGCCCCAGGAGGCTGGATCTGTGTTCGGGGGGCGCGTTTCACCCCCCCCCGCCCCCAGGAGGCCCCAGGAGGCCCCAGGATACATCTTTCTGTATTGGGAGATGTGTTCGGGGAATGCTTTTCACTTCCCCCCGCCCCCCAGGAGGTCCCAGGAGGCTCGAGGAAAACACATTGGTTTCTAACGCCCCAGAGCGGGACAAGCGTGAACACACATGGGTTCCTAACGCCCCAAGGCGGGGGAAGCACGAAAACATATGGGTTCCTACCGCCCCAGGGCGGGACAATCGTAAAACACAACTGTTCCGAACGCATCAGACCGAGACACTTGTTTTCACGTGTCCAGGTCGCCCAGGCGGATGTCTAACATAAGGATGTGTTGAGAAAGTCTCGAGCGAAACGCTTGTTGTCACGTGCCCAGGTCATTCAGGCAGGCGTCTAACATGAAGATTTGTTGAGGATGTCTCGAGCGAAGCACTTGTTTTCACGTGTCCAGTTCGCCCAGGCGGATGTCTAGCATGTGGTTGTGTTGAGGATGTGTTGAGCGAAACGCTTGTTTTCACGTGCCCAGCTCGTCCAGGCGAGGACTTGGGCAGGATATCTCGAGCGAAACGCGTGTCCCCAGCACGTTCCGTGGCGCGTCCCCTTGGCACGTCCCGCGGTGCGTCCCCATGGCACGTGCCCTGGCACGTCGCCTGGCGCGTCCCTTGGGACGTTCCGCGGCGCGTCCTCCTAGCATGTCCCCGTGTCAATTAGCTCTGGGGCAGCGACTGTGTGTTCAGGCATCTCAAGCTAAAGATCCAGATCAGTTCGGTCAGGACTCGGATGCAAAGGAGGACTCAATAGACAACGCTATAGAGCACGATCGGTCCCCAAACCACTCCTGGGGTCCATCTAGTAAACATTTTCACCCTGGATCTGTCTTCGACGATCCCGAGGCACAAAAACGGCCCTCGGTGGCAAAAAAAAGCCAAAAACCTTCGCGAACCCAGCGCCTCGAATCTCCTCCCCCCCTCCTGCCCGCTGGAGCCAGTACTAGGCCACCTTAGACTCCAAACCGACTCCAACTGGGTGGAGCGCGTTCTTTCTTTCCCCAAGTCTTCGGTGGCAACCCATGGGAGCCTCCCATACCACCTTGTTGGCACCTGTGAGTCGACGGTATCGACGCTAGTCGTCGCTAAATCTGTGCTCTCATCGATTACCAGACGCTAGCGCTCGCTAACGCACTCGAGCGACGAAATTCACGAGGACGCACAAGGCTCACAAGACCTGCTACCGAACCACACCGCGTGGGCGCCCACCGCTTCCTTCTTCCACCTGGGTCGGGCCCGCAGCAGGGCATCCGATGCATCGGCGATGCACTGGAGAGGGTCGGCGATGCATCGGCGACGTCGGCGTGGAGAAAATCAGGCTCCGCAGCGAGCCGCATCACTGGCGACGCGACGCGATCCTCCGACCCCATCTACTCCGACACCATCTGGGAGGCCTAGAGCACCATCGGAGATCTGGGTGGCGCGCTTCCCCCAGTTCGGTCGGGTGTTGCTAGGAGTGCCCCTGGTCCTAGGTGCCCCCAGGATTTCCATAGATGCCCCCACGGCCTCCAGAGCACCCCTCACGAGGACGGATGGCCCCCAGGGACTCCAAGATGGAGCGAAAAACTGGGAACACCTTGGGCCTCGGGCACCTTCAACAACTCCCGTGTGGGCGCCAGACATTGGTACGGAAGAAATGGGTACGATGCCCACAATGTTTATCCATAGCCGACAGCGGCCGCTGATGGGCAGGCGGCCTTTTGTCAAATGGAAAACCCGCAGCGACACCGATAGCCTGTCCTGTTCAAAATGAACCGGAACTGCTGTCGTTCGTTCATTCCGTACCAATTTCGGACGTCCCGGACCTTTGACAACTCCCGAGCCGGGCCCGCAGCCGAACAGCCCCGGCGCCGGCGCCGCGTCGTAGGCCGCGTCGGCCTCCGAGCGCAGCTCGGCCAGGCCGCGGCGGAGCCGCGCCTCCGCCTCGTAGGGCAGGGCGGGGAGTAGCCTGTCCGCCTCGCAGAAGCCGTGGGCCTCGTTTGTGTTGTTCCTGTCTTACTCAAGGACCGCATCCCAGAAATAATTCTGAACACCCAGAACTGTGACGACGCAGGCGAAGTATTGAACTAGTACCGCCTCCCAAGGCCCGACACGTGAACACTTTTCCAGGGGTGTCGCAACTCAGGGCCCCTCCAGTTTATGTACTTCTTGGTGCTCGAGGCTCTTTCTGGCGGTCAAGGCGGAAGTAGGTTAGAACATTATAAGGCCTCGCCGGCATCCAAGTCGAACAGCGCGACCTCCTCGCATGGGACCGAGAAGGATGTACTTGTAGAACCGACAAAATAGATATATATATATATATATATATATACACACACACACTTGCCCAAGCAACGTGGCCAGAAAACGCCCCCCAAAGAGCATGTGCAATAGGACGTGTCAGCGCGCGTCACCCTTTGGGGGCACATCCACATAGAATAACATTGAGTCGACGATGCCGATCCGGGTTGAGCCGAAGAAGAGTCCGCAGAGGGTGACCAAGAACCCCCACCTTCTCCCGTCGGAGCGCAAGGGGGGCCCAGCGCCGATCCAGGAAAACCGCGCGGACCTTCCAATCTTGATGATTGCGTCACATTGTTTTTACGCTCCTTGGTCCTCTGGGAACCAGCCGCAGCAGTTCGCAAGCAGTCCGGGCAAATTGCCGTCGTCGTCCTCGTCGAACGGCCGCTCCGGCCTCAGCGCCCCGAACAGGAAGGGGTAGGGCGCCTCGAGGTACTCTAAAGAGGGGACCATAACGCTGTACTGGTGGGGCCAGACCAGGGGGTACAGCAGCACCTGTGGCAAAGACTTCGTGGGCGCACAGAATGCCCAGCCCCTGGAAAGCCCCAGCTGGTCTCAACAGGTCCCCCGAGCAGTCCCAGCTGGCCTCAACAGACCCCTACCGATTAAGACTGGAGCGATAGGGGCAACGCCTATGGGGTGTGCGGTGGGAGGGGGTAGTCGCGCAAAGTATGTCGCTCGCGCGAACTAGTGCGCGAACTATTGCTGGGGGAGCTATTGCAGTGGGCGGGAACTACTGCGTGAAAACAATACACGATTGCCCCACACTCTCAGGATAATGTCGGAAACGTATCGAACCGCCCACAAACTACTCGCTTGATGGCAACGACATGTGAGACGAGGGATAAGGCATGGGATAGAAAAATGAACAATCGGTGGCCGTGGCCATTGATCCGACGCTCAGGTTCATGTCTCGCGAGTGCAAGCCAAGCAAATAGGGTGCCGCTGCCTTGAGCCAAGGCAGCGACGGTAGCAGATAGCGCTCGCTATACAATCCCCGCCTTTGACTCCGTTCGAAGTCGGGCGGGGAGGGATCGAACGCTAGATCCAGCCCCAAATGCATGGTTTAAAATAGAAAAGGAAGGTGGGGCACTCGTTCGTCGACAGCCATGGCCGGGCGCAGCCAAGGCGAAGGACGAACGGCGCAACGCATCAGGGCCAGTCGGGGGCAAGCCCACGCGACCAGCCACATATCACCATGGATAATCACGGGCAAGGCCACGATTTTCCGAACGCAATAAAACGGTGGCGCCTGGCCAAATGCCAGACGTCAAAGCGCGCGAAGCTTTGCAGAGCGAAGAGAGATGCCCGACTAGATCGCCAGGCACCCACAAGGAATAGCCCGTGCCCGAGCTTTTAGATTGGCAATGGGTGGCCAGACGCAGCCAATATCCGAGCTTAGATTGGCTGTGGGAGTGCCAATCATCTGCCGCATCCGCTGGCCGCAAATTGAGCATCCCTAAGTTGATGCTGTTGTTGTGTTGCCTCGATCGGGTGCGTGCTTCTCTGCCTCGCAGTTGAAGTCTGATTACCTCCCATCGCTTGCAGTCGTACCTCGCGATCAATTCAGTCTGGGACATGGCCGTCGGCTGTCGCATCGCGCGCATCACACTATTGCGCGCTGTGAGCGACGCCTCGGTCCGCTGAGATGCCCCAGCAAGGCGCGTCCAGTTGTCTTATTCAAACCCAGACTTGCAAGGATTTGAACACCGATCCAGCGACCATGGTTAGCGTGGCTTTGGTGCTGGGATAACCTAAGTCTAGAATGTGATTGAGTTGCGTTGGCGCTGGTGGTCCAGCCTTCAGCTCGCGCAGCGTCGCAGCGGTCGAGCGGCGGTTTTCGAGATTATGAGCTGCGGCCAACGCTTCAGATGAGTAGCCGGAACGCACCTGCAAGCGGCGTGGTTCGCAGCGCGCATCGATTCAGGTGTACTACTGCCTTGCCATTGGGCGTGTGTTCGCGCAGTGAAATGTTGTCCCCTCGGACGCCATGCCCTTTTGCATCGTCGTCTTGGTCTCCGTTGAGGCGACTGTAGCCAGGGTCGCTGCGGAAGTCCACATCTCCAGTCTGAACCATAAGTTGATATCTCATTTTCTCTGGACCTCGTTGGAGCTCGGGCGCTGCGCAAAGTCGCACATTGAGGTCGGTGGGGCCCTGTGCTCGCGGCAATAATGCGACTTGCGCCATCAGCCACGCCTGCGCGATCAATGCATGCGGCTAACGCAGCGTGTCAACGATGCACATATCGGGCACTATTTTTCGTCGCCTTTTCTGCGGCTTCAGCGCCCGCAAGTTCTGGGCGCTGCATGGGGCGAACATTCTCGACGCAGCGCAGCGCGCGGCCCTGTTCGCATGGCAGTTCTTGTTCAGTTTAAACGCGCCGAGCGCACTTTCTATTCATTTGGCATACATGCCTATGGTGTCCTCATTTCCTGCCATGTTCATGTAGTCGACGCGCTTGGCCGTCAAAGGGTTGGGCTCGCCAAGTGCTTCGTCGCGCGACGCGGGTCCTAGCCCGGGGCCCTGCGCGAGGGCCCAGAGTTTCAGCGAGAATGCCCTGGGGGCATCGTGATCGCATGGGCGCTGGCGCCTGGCATCAGACGCTGCAGACAGAGCGTCGATGCGCCATGAGATGCAGAGCCGGGCAATGCGCGCAGCGCGGAGGCTGGGCCAGGTGGAGGGGATGAGCGAAGCAGACCGCGCGTTCTTTCTCTCCGCCAATGGCGTCTGCCAGCTCGCGGTATGGCAGGCCCTTCAAGAAAGCCTTGCCAATGTCCAAGAATGCCATCATCCATGATTTCTCGCGCGCGGCCGCGCCGGCAAGCAATCTTCGGCTTGCTCGGCGGGCTGTGCCTGAGAAGGTATCCACGTCGAATGCTTCGACGCCCATGACGCCGCGAAAGACAAGGCGAAGTCGCATGGTTGGTTCCATTTCGGCCTTCTCGTTCTTCGCGAGTTTCCACTTGTGCGCGAATCTAGATGTCATGATGTGTGTGGCATGTTTGACATGCAGCATCAAGCATTTGATGTCGTCCCAGATTTTGAATTATGCATGCAAGGCTTTGGACCGATTTGCCGAATTGGCCTGCGTTTCCGCCATCGTCAAGCGGTCATCTTCCTGGGCGACATCGGCTCTCTCAGCTGCGGCTGGAACATATACGCGCGTTATAGTTAGCTGGCTTCGTGTAGCGATTCGCGTTGTTGCTCCGTCAGCAAAATCATGGCCATGTCAGTGGCGAAGCACAGCTGAACACACTTACCGTATTCGCCCGGATCCAGATCGCATGTTTGTTTTGTCGTAGTCTGTGAGGTACCAGGCAAACTGTTTCGTCCGCGTCGCAGTGACGAGCACAACCTATTTCCCGCGAGTGTCCTTGGTCCTCATTGTCCACAGTCACGCGTGCATGGTTGTCAGTGATCAAATCAGTGGGTACAGAATGTAAGGCTTCCCGCGAGTGAGTCTCAAGCGGTCCCTGTTTCTTTTGGAGTTCAATGTGCCAGATTGCCAAGAAATGCGATCCCAGCTCCGATTCTGACTCTTCAGCAATAGCCGGTAGCTGGTAGCCTGCCGTCGAGTGCGGCTGGTGTTAGAGATCGCTCTTACTCTTGCGCGTTGCAGCCGGAGGCTGGCGCGTTCGCCAGGTCCTCAAACATAGATAGGTATTCGTCGAAGCCTGCTTGGGTTTTTGGGGACTTAAGCCATTCGATTATTCGTGCATGTGGACCCAGTAAAGGTCGTAGATGTTGAGGGCTGTGCCTTCGGGTTGGTAGCAATGAAACCCTGGTGTGAGGTCGTTGTCACAGTATACCAGGGAGCAGCTATCAGCGCATGGTGCTGCAGGTGACCTGTGTTCGCCAGACGTAATCTTACTACGTCCTGTATTTTGAATAGTTGCTGATACGGAATTGCGAGGCTAACGATTGTACCCCAGGCGAGGGACGACTCGCCGTAGCAATCCGCAACTGTTCCTGCTCGGTCGGCCGGCAGCCGACAACCGTTGCATATTTCCCCGCAGGTAAGCTCGCGATAGTGGCCAGCACGGTGCGCATGGCCCCAGCATCGGAGCCGATCTCGCGGACCATTCGTACCTCGATGCACAGCGCGCGACGTAAGCCTCGATGCTGCATCAGGACTTCTCGGCCACCGACCTGGACTACAGCTTGACCTCGATCAAAGTAGTTTCGGGCAGTGGTGTGTGGACCTATCTGCCCACCCCAATCGTCCGTCGTTGTATCGGACGGCGGTTATCCACGATATCGCCTGGCTGATATTTGTGGTGTCCTGGTTTTGGGCCTGGGTCATACTCTGATGCTGATTTCAATCACTCTCTGCTCTCGATTATGATCGGATTCTTCTGCCCCTATTTACACGTCCGTCAATTTATTTGGTTTGGCCTGGTGCGGGCATGGTTTCGCCTGAGAAGTCCTCGCAATTTGTCTGGTTCGGCATGGTTTGGGCCCAATTTCGCATGGGGCGTCCTCACAATTTGCTCGGTTTGGGCCCGGCTTCGCCTGAGATGTCTTCACCGTTTGCCTGGTTGGCTTGGTTTGGGCTCGGTTTTCCATGAGACGTCATCGCAAATTAAATGGTTTTGCCTAGAGGGGGCGGCGTTGTCTCCCCGGCGCGTCCCCCCCCGAAGGGGGGGGCGCCGCCCTGGGGCCTCTCCTTGCTTATGGGAGAGCGGTCGGCCAGACCGAGACACTAGCCCGCAATGAGGTGAGAACCAAGGAGTGGCCGGCGTCCGGGCGAGAGCGCGCGCCAACGTCGCGGTCGTCGTCGCGGTCGTCGTCGTCGTCGCCGCGGCCGCCGTTGTTTGGAACGGGGCGCGTGCCATCTGCAGGGGGTGGCCCGCGCGAGTCTTTTGTTCGGGACAGGCGCAGCGAAACGATCGTTTTCCAGCTGTTCGGGGCCCGCTTCTATTGCATAGAGCGTTGTGGAACAGTCAAGAAAGCCATCCATCCCACTGTGCGGAACCAGGCTCCGATCGCATTGCGAAGGGAGTCCCTAGCGAAACGCTCGCATTCGAAAAATGCGGGATCAATTTCTATTGTTTCGAACCGAGTTCGAACCGTCAAAGTTTGCCGCATTCGAACCGTCATCCTTTTGTGTCGAGCCGGGTCGGACGCCGGATTTTGATGGAAATCCCGAGCGAAACGCTCATGTTTCTTTTTGTTTCGAACCAGATTCTACTGTTTTGAAACAAATTCGAACCGTCAGGACAGCGATTTTGGTGATGATGACCCACGCGGTTTGCTGTTTTCGAACCAACATCCCGTTTGGCGTCATACCTTATTAAGAATGCCAAACCCCATGTTGTCCTCCGCCCTGACAGCGAGGCACCTCCCCCGTAAGATTGCACCAGACCCCACTCACCCTAGTGGGGCGACTAGCGACGTGCGCCCGAATTGCGGACGCAGGATGCACTTTTGCCGACCCGTCACAATGGGGCACGTTTTCATCACGGCACAGTAATGCAAGCATCGCTCACACACA